TAGGGATCCCTTCCCATTCATTAGGGATCCCTTCCCATTCATTAGGGATCCCTTCCCATTCATTAGGGATCCCTTTCCATTCATTAGGGATCCCTTTCCATTCATTAGGGATCCCTTTCCATTCATCAGGGATCCCTTCCCGTTCATCAGGGATGCAGTGAGGGACACTGAGCCCTCCCGGGGTGTTGGGAGATGGGATGACAGCGGAGATAGGGATGTGGTTCTCATTTCAACATCCCGTTAAACGGGAGGGGAATGTTCCCATCCCACAGCTCGTTCACAGTTCTGTGTCGGGATGGGGTCAGGAATGAGATCCCAGGGATTGCAAATCCCGGCTGGATTTGTCTCCCGAGCCTTGCACTGGCATTTGTGCTGTGTGGAAAGAGGGAAAAGTCCCGGCGTGGCTCTGCAGGGCTGGAAAATCAGGAGAGGGCAAATTCCCGACTTTTATTCAGGGAGAATTCGGCTCTTCCAGTGCTGGAATCCAGGCTCCAGTGTAAGAGCAGGAATTTGCTGTTTCAGTGGGAGCAGGCAGATGTGATGACATTTAGTGAAGTGGCAGGGAATGCACCAGGGACACCCCAGGCATCAGCCTGGATTTCCCATGGGGGTGGAAGTTGGGAAAGTCTCCTGGACACCCATCTTGAGGGATGGGATTAGTATTCCCAGTATATCCCAGTACAGAGCCAGGCTGGACTGGTCATCATTGGTCATCTTGTAGTCTCTGCCCAGCCACTGCAAGGCATTCCAGGAGGAAACTGCTTTATCCTTTGTCCTTTCCCAACTGTGTGGTTCAGTGGTAACCTCGGATTCCAGCCAGGAAAATCCCCCCAAGGCCAGCCCAGGGTGTGCCAGGCCTGCAGAGTGGAGCATCCCTGTCCTCTGCTCCCAGCTCTTCCAGAGCCCGGCCTGCCAGCACACACAAACTGCTGGAGACTCATCCCCACTTCCCAGAGCCACGGAATCAGGATCACTGAGGGCGGAAAAGAGCTCCAGGAACAGAGTCCCAGCCCCATCCCCACCTTGTCCCCAGCCTGGAGCTCCCAGGAATTCCTGGGACACCTTCAGGGATGGGCACTCCAAACCTCCCTGGGCACTTCCAATTCCTGATCCCCCTTTCCATGGGGAAATTCCTGCTGCTGTCAACCCTGAGCCTCCCCTGGCCCAGCCTGAAGCCGTTCCCTCTCCTCCTGTCCCTGTTCCCCCCGGCTATCCCCTCCTGGCAGGGAGCTGTGCAGAGCCAGAAATTCCCCCTGAGCCTCCTTTTCTCCAGGCTGAGCCCCTTCCCAGCTCCCTCAGGAATTCTCCAGCCCCTTCCCAGCTCCCTCAGGAATTCTCCAGAGCTCCAAACGAGCCAAACTGAGCTTCCATTGGACACCAACCTCTTTAAACTCGATTTTATTTCACACACAGCACAACACTGCTCCCCTTGACCAATCCTTTGTCCCAAAGGCAGACTGAGGAGCCAGGTTCAGCTTTGCTTGAACTCTTGGAAAGGCAGGACTTGGATCCAGGGCCTCTCCCGACCTTCCTGGAGCTCTCACATGTGCGGAGCAGAGCCGGAGCCTCGCCCGCTCCGAGTGCATCATGACCTCTGTTAAGCAAACACTTGCTGTAATCGCCTCCAGATCTGCCCTGGCTTTGATCAGCTGCAGGATGACTTTATCTTATGATATAAATATGTAAAACATCCATTTGTTTTCGGGCAGGATGCAAATAAATCATTGCGTAAGTTCGGGCCCGAGCGAGGAGTGCAGCCGTGGCTCCAGAGCTCCTCAGGCTCCACCTCCTGGAAGGTCATTCCTGCAGGAACACGGCGTTTCTCTTCCCTGCTTCGCTTTCTTCCAGAGGTTTCTGTCCCTCATGGACAGCTCTGGGTGTTCCCAGCAGACCAGTGACGGAACAGCTCCCATCCCTCCCTCTCAAAACCACCCAGTGCTCCCAAACCAGCTCAAACTCCTGCTGGGGTCACCCAGGAGACCTGCTGCTCATCCTGGAGGTGCTCATCCTGGAGGTGCTCATCCTGGAGGTGCTCACCTCCAGCCCTGCCACCCCTGCCACCTTCAGCTCATTCCCAGTACCCCTCTGCCCTTCCCACAGGAATCATTCAACCCTCTGGCTCTTCTTCCCACAGCCTGTGCCCATCCCAGCCCCTGATCCCGCTGCTCCTGGTGGGATTCCCTGGATCCCTCTGGCTGCTGTGCCCCCCAGGCTGGAGCCCTTCCCCAGGGATGGCCACTGGAGCTGAGCAGCAGTTCCCAGTGGGAAGCTGCTGGGAGCGCTCTCGGGGTGTTGTGACAGAGCTTAAGCCGAGCCCAGAGCTCAGCAGCTCCTCTGTGGTGTCAGCCAGCCTCGAGCACTTGGTTGGTTGATGGAAAATCGGGATTTGGGCTTCCCCCAGCTGAGATTCCTCAAAATCGCCTTCCCCTGCCTGTTCCCAACCCCGGCGTGAGCACAGCCCCTGTTTGAGCTGTCAGGGAAGGCAATCTCTTGCCAAGAGATTCAGGAAAAATGATAAAAACCATCAGCTGATGGCTGGGGAATCTCATCTGCTGAGCCAGGAGAGACAGATGAATATTCCCATTTTTCCAGAGCTAAGGAAGGATCAGGGTCTCCACCAGCTGTGCTCTCCAAAGGTCTGGCAGCACCTTCCCAAGAGAGAAGGGATTTGGGAAGTTCTGGCTTCATTCCTACTTGTGGCCTTGTATCCCACCTTCCTGCAGGTCCTGGATTTTAACAGGGTGCCCAGAAAAGCTGTGGATTCCTCATCCCTGGAAGGCTTGGAGCACCCTGGGACAGTGGAAGATGCCCCATGGCAGGGCTGGGACTGGATGAGCTTTAAGGTCCCTTCCCACCCATTCCATGATTCTGTGATTTTCCCTCGTTATTAAAAGGATTTTCCAGTCCTTACCCCGAATGCTCCGCTGCATTCCGGGACAGAGCCATGCCCACATTCCCATTTCCCTAAATAACACAACAATTCCAGAGAAGAACATGGAGACAAGAACAGGAATCAATATTCCAGTGCTGCTCCAGGATGTCCTGGAAGGGGAGCTCGGGGAGCTTTGGGAAGATAAGATTGGGTGCATAAAACTGCCAGATGATTAATGAACCTTTGTCCTGGCGAGGGAGATAAAACCTCTGGAGTTGCTGCCCCTGCTAACAGCTTTTCCATCACTTTGGAAATATTTTTGCTCATTCCAGAGGTATTTGATTATCTGTCTTTATCCAAGGGCAGATGGAATTGGAAATCTCCCCCAGCCCCGTTTTGCTCTCACATCAGAGCTCCTCCCTTTGCTGTTTGTTCTGTTTTCTCACCTCTGTGGGCTCCAGAGTTGGGAGAAATCCACACCAGTTCCTGCTGTCCCACCTCTCCTCCTTCCCAAATTCCCAGCAGGGCATTTTATCTCCTGGCTGCCACTGCTGGTGGATCCCTGGCTGCTCCCAAGGGTGGGGGAAAGGTGGATCCACACCTGAGCTCTGTCATTCCACAGAGTGATCTTCACCTGGAAAAGAGATGGGGAAGAGGCAGAGCAGCCAGGGCAGAACATTCCAGGGTGTTTAAACTGGGATGGAGCGGGAGAAGACACCGGGATTTGGATGGGCAGAGCTCTTGGAGCCTTTGGAGCTTGGAAATTCCCTGAAAAAGCCTTTTCTCCTCCTCTTCAGCTTTCTCCTCTCCTCCTTTCAGTTTTGCCACAGCTGATCCAAGGAAAGCCCTCATGATGGGAACAGGCTGGGAATTCCCTCTGGGAATTCTGCAAGGAGGCTGCCGGGCTGGAAGGTTGCTGAGAAGTTGGGAGTGGGATGGTTTGGATGCTGAAAACCTGCATTTTTCCATGGAATTCCCTTGGAATTCTTGTCACACCATCAGCACAATCCGTGTCCCTGTGAGGTGAAGCTGCTCACACATAAACAAAAATTAAATTTTCTCTGTTTGGAACTTTTTCTCCAAACTTCTGGTCGCAGAGCAGGTTGTGTTTTGTAACTTTATCCAACAACATTCCAGACAAACCTGTGGATGCTGGAAATGCCATTTCCCTCGGTTTGGGCAGATTTTGCAGAGTCCAGTCAGCACAGAAACCAGGAGCTCAAGTTCCCTGAAAGGTGGAGACTTCACTGGGACAATCCATAGGAGCATTCTCTGCTGGAATGAGCGGTGCTTCTTTTATCCCATTAAATTCCTGGAGTTCAGCGAGTTTATTCCAAATTTATATCCAGGACAGGGCTTGGAGCAACCTGGGATGGTGGAAGGTGTCCCTGAAATGACAGGGGTGGGATGGGATGATCCTTTTTCCCTTCTTTTGGAGAAAGCTTCTGGAAAATGGGATAATTCCAGCAGCTGGCTCTGGGGCAGAGCATCCCTCGAGCTTCCTGAGGAAGGAATTCATCCATGGGGAGAGCAGGTCCTGGGAAGGCTCTGAGGGATCCCTGGGGATGGGAGCTGTCTGTGCCCATCCCGGGGTGCTCAGCGCTCCCAGCTGGGACCATCAGTGCCCAGGAGCACCTGGAGGAGATGATTGGGATGGGAGAGCCCCGCCCATCCCATTTTCCACCTGGCAGCGGGATTGAAGCCCCCCATAAATCCCGGTTCCCTTAAGGGGGCAGTTTGTGGTGCAGGGAGCCAGTGTTTGTTCCTCGTTTCTGAGTTTTTAGGGACAGCAAGCGGATTAGAGGATGATTTCCCCCTTCCTGGGGGCCTCTAGAGGCCTTGGCGGCCGCCTGGATTTTGGGGATGAGGAGTCGTGGGAATTTTGTCACCTGTTTTGGAGCCCTGAGCATCTTCCGGAGCCGCCCTTCCCTTCGTGAGGTCAGTGAGGTCTCTGTGTCCCCAAACTGCCCCTGCTGGAGCTGAGCGGACCGGGGTTCCCAGGATGGACTGGGATTCCCTGGGACGTGCAGGACTGGGATTCCCTGGGACGTGCAGGACTGGGATTCCCTGGGATGAGCTGCGCCTTGTGTTCCTGCAGGGAGTTGGGAGAGGCTGGAGCTGCCTGGGATGCAGCTCCTGCTCCTTCCCCCTCCTCGGAGCGGGGTTTGGTGCCAGCCCCTCAGGCCTGGGAAGGTTCAGGATATGGAAACCATTCCTGCTCCACGGGATATTCCCTGCTTCGCTCTGTTTTCCTCTCCATTTATCCCAAACCTCATCCCTGTTGCTCCTGTGCACCGCTGGCACCCCAAGGTACGACTTTTATTTCTCCTAATCCCCTTTTTTATCGATTTTAGCTGTTGGCAGGTGGCTGTAAGGAATATTTGGCTTTTATTGGGCTGGGTTTTGCCGTTTTCCTCCTTTATTCCTCTCCTTGTGTTCCGTCATGCCTGAGGGGTGTCCCTGAAATCTGAATTTTGGGATGTCTCTGCTCCTCTTTGGAAAAACACAACATTCTGGGCAAGAATTTATCCCAAAATTAACCTCGACCTCCCCTGGCACAACCTGGGGCGGGTTCCTCTTGTCTCTAAAAATCCTCTTTTTCTTTTATTTATTTTATTTTTATTTTTCTCGCCATAAGAAAACCAAATCCAAACCCTTCCTGCTCTCCGGGTTCGGTTGGATGCTCCCCGTCCACGCTGGAATTTTTTGTGGGGAGCAGGAGTGACCCCATCCTGGGCTCTGCCACCGTGACCTGCCCTGCTCCAGCTTTCCCTCACATCTGGAAAAGGGGAACAAAAGGGCTTTTTGTGCTCCCTCTGCAGCGAAATCCTCGTGAATTGTGTCTGGGAAAGAGCCAGCAATTGGGAAGATTTTCATGGATTTACCGGGGTTCTGCAGGCGGTGCTGGGATGGTTTTCCTCCCTTTTGTTTGAAAGTGGCTCTTGCTTTCCTTCCCCAGCTGGAATCGCTTGGGCTCATCAGCTCCGCCTAGCTAATTAAGTAATTAATTACCCCCCGGGCTGCGCAGGTGCCGCTTTGGGGCTAATTAAGGATCCTTTTCCATCTGGGATCTGCTCCAGCGGGAATTGCTGCCCATGGAAGGAGGAAGGGGGCTGTGAGCACCAAAGCCGTGCCTGGAGTTTTATCCTTGGCTCAGGGGAGCCCCGAGCATCCCTGAGGAAACCTGGAAACAGGGGCTGGGCTGCGGCTTTCTCCCAAATAAATCGGCTGGAAGTGGAATATTGGATGCCTGGAGAGCTTTAAAGCTCCTTTACGTGTCCACAGGGTCAGAATATTTCTAGGATTAAAGAGCAGCTGGGATTTTAAAATTTATTTTTAACTGAATTTTTAATTTATTTAAATTTTTTTGTGAGCCTCTGATTCAGTTGCCTTCACCTCTCAGGTGTTTGAAGAGCTTTATAAACCTGATTTAGAGCTCCTGGAATTTTTGGCTCTGCAGCAAGTGCTTGTATCTGTCCTTTTCCTAGGGGGAAAAATTAATTAATCTGTTTTCTGAGGAACTCCTTTCCTGTTCCTGCCACTGGAAGAAGGAGGTGGGAAGGGATTTGGGATTGGGAGCTGTGGAAAGGGGAAGCAGGAGCTGCTGCCTCGATGGCATTTCCTTCCTAACTGAAAAAAAAATAAATTAAATATAGATATAAATAATTTATAGATATTTATAATATCTAAAATAATATATAAATATATAACAATAGATTAATATAGAATATAGAAAAATATAAAATATAGAATATATAAAATATGTAAATATATAATATATAAAATAATTAAAGTATATAATATATAAAATAATAAATAAACCACTGAAATAAATATATACATATTTATATAAATAAAATATTTAAATAAAGATATATTTATATTTATAAATATTTATATAAACAAAAATAAATTTAAAAAATATTCTGAGAAGATGGAAAAAAGTGAAAATCCTGTGTTTGGTGAAGGACTTGGCTGCTGGAGGCAGAGATTTGGGAATTCTGTTCCCGAGGGAGGGACACTGTCCCTGCCCAGGTGGCTTTGGGTGCTCTGAAATGATCCAGGATTTGACCCTCCCTGGAACCTGAGCAGGGAATTATGGACACCTGGAGAGAACTGGAGAATGAGGAGCTGCAAAGAAAGAGGAAATTGTTATTTCTCCCAATCCCGTTTTTTATTTTAGGAAGAGTCCCCAAAAGCTGGGATGGCAGCGGGGGCACTGCCAGGGCTGCAGGAGCAGCACATCTGCAGCACAGCTGGCGCCACATCCTGGGCTCAGCTGCAGCAAATGTGCCAATAAATGGAATTTATTTAGGATCAGGTTGCAGCACAGCCCTGATAAAGGAACATCCCGTTTTTCCCTAGATGGAGGAACCCAATCCTGGAGGTATCAGTGCATCTTTTAATGGCCTTGCTCTGAGAAACACAAGGATTCTGTTGAAATGGGATTTTAATGGTTCCTCCTTTTTTTCCTGCTTCTCCCTGCAAAGCCTTTTGAGCTGGGAAAGGAGGCAGGGGATGGTTGGAATGCTGGCTCTTTGTGGGCAGCCCAGTTAAAATCTAATTATCCTGGTTATCAGTCAGTAAAAGGCTCCCCGAGAGAAAAAGGGGGTTTTTATTTCTTTGTTTGACAGCAAACCTGAAATGCATCACTTGATACCAGAACTGAGCTCCATTCACCCATTCCAACAAAAAAAGGGGAGCTTGATGCTCCCTTTAATGCCAAGAACTACAAAAAAAGATCACTTTAAGTTTTACTGGCTCGTTAATTCAAGCTGTTCACTCAAAGTGCAGCTTTCCCATGCAATGGCCCGGCCTAAAAATGTGCTTTATTTGGGTTTGGAGATAAATGGTTCATCCAGGCAGACTGCAGGCTCTAGAGAAGATCCTGGATCAGAGATAAGTGGCATAAACCCAGCAAAATGGGCATGGAATGATGCAAAATGGGAAGAGTTTGCTAAATCCGGGGTGAGGATGTGAAAGCAGCCGCTAGAGCCTCGGTTTTGGGGGGCTGGGGGGAGAGGTTTCCCTTCAGGATTTGTTTTCTTGCTCACATGAGGTGAAACTTCCCCTTGGGCAGGTTGTGCTCCCAGGAAACAAGGGACAAGAGGAACCTGCCCCAGGTTGTGCCAGGGGAGGTTTAGGTTGGATTTTGGGATAAATTCCTGCCCAGAAGGGTTGGCCAGGCTGGCACAGCTGCCCAGGGCAAGAGTTCCCATTCCTGAATGGCAGCACTGAAAGAGCAGAATTTACAAATTCACACTCCCAGCTGCCGTGAAATTTCTAAAATCAGGGAATATTGTCCTTCTCTTCCCTCCCCATCCCCATTTTCCTGCCTTTCCAGCTGCTGTGGCACAGGCAGGACCTCTCCAGGGTCCAAACCTGCATCTTCCCAAATCCACCCCCAAACCTCTGGCTCTGGGAGAGGGAGGAGGGTGGGAAGCTCTGATGGATGGAGCTGATCCCAGTTTTGCCAGGTGAAGCTGCAGGAACACAGGACAGGTTATCCTGGAATTCTTTTGTCTTTATGGAGGCTGAAATTCAGGAATTGTCTTTAATATCCCTGTGGAAATGAGGTAACTCATCCCTGGAGAGCTCCAAACCCTTCCTGGCTCTGGAATCCCTCCTGCTGGGAGCTCCACCTGTGCCTTGGGATGGGAATGCTGGTGGAGGGGAAAGTTAAAAACACCCAGAAAACAAAAACTGGGCTTTACAGAGCTGGAGTTGTTGAGTTCCACACAGGAATGAAAATGGGATTTTGGAGGCTGAACATTCGTTCCTTTGGTGGTGGAGTTTTTTTCCCCTTTTTTGAATGGAATGGAGTCCAAACATGAGGTTTTTGGATAGGAAAGGCTCCCCCTCCCAGCACTCTGCCTCCCTCCATCCCTCCGGAGGCAGCCAAGGGATCGTGCTGGACCTGGGATTCTGTTCCACCAAATATTGTCGGAATCAATCCCAGTCCCTGTGGAGCTGTTTGGGCAGAAAACATCAAGTTCCTTCCATGCAGCCAAGAGGAACCATGTCCTGAGCCCTGATCCCAGAAATAAAGCTGGGATGAAAAGCTTCACTCCCGGCCAGCAAAGATGGTCCTGCTTAAATCCAGTGCCACAAAAACTTCCTGCACCCCATTCCCTGTTGGAAATGGGGACAGTTGGAGCACAGCTGGTGGCTTTGGGTCTGCAGCCACCTGGGGGACCTGGAGGGGCTGGAATGTCCCCACCTGCCAGGAGAGGAGCCCCAGGGTATCGGGAGCGCTGAGGAGAATCACGGTGTTGTGCTTTCCCTCTGGATGAGGGCACAGCCTTGTTTTTCCAAAGGGCTGGAAGCCTTTTCCAAGTGTCGCTCTTGGCTCGTGGAGGCTTTGGGAGAGGATGGAGCTGCGGGAGGAGGTGGCTGCCAGCTGCTCTATAAAAACACTGCCTTGATCCAAAATCCCTCCGGAAGCGCCCCCGGCTCATCCCGGCGTTCCCAGGGGATCGCGCTGACCTAGATTCTGCCAGAGTGGCTGAGGTGGAGCCTCCACTACAATGTGGCTTTTATCTGCTCCCAGAGTGGATCCAGAGCACGAGGAATGCGCAGGGAGCTTTCATTTCCTTGGAAAGCCATCATGGCCAGACCTGCTGCCACATGCTTGGGTTGGTTTCTTTCTGCTCTCGCTCCCTGATCCTCTTGGAGGAGTTCAGGAAGCGCTTTTCATCCAGCTGGGAATGGCTGGGAGAATCCAGGAATTTATCAGACACCTGGAAGGCTCTGGAGGCAGGAGCTGGAGCAAATATTTGCTGGGATGAGCAGCTTTTCCTCTTTGAAGTTCCTGTGTGCTCGAGGCAGGCATTTCTTATCTAGGCTGTTTGGAGGGGGGATGCAATGCCACGGGAAAGGTGTTTTCATGGAATTCCTGGAATAACATTGGACAGGCTGGGAAGAGCAGGATGTCTGCAGGAGTTTGCAGCAGGAGGGGCTCTCTGGGGAGGAGCTGAGGGTTGGTGCTGCCCACAGCTGGAATTCCTGCACTCAGGAGCCTCCCAGTGCTTCCAGAGCCTTGGGAAGTTTGTCTTCCTGAAGATGCCACCTCCCCATCCTGGAACTGGGATGAAAAATCGGGCATGGGAATGATTGTGGGCTTGATCAGGGATTCCCAAAGGCTGAGCTGTGAAATGGGCTGGGTGGGGAGGGATCTCTGAAGCTCCTCAAGTCCAGCTCCTGTCATGAGGATTCCCAACTTTCCACTGTCCCAGGCGGCTCCAAGCCCTGTCCAGCCTGGCCTTGGACACTTCCAGGGATCCAGGGGCAGCCACAGCTTCTCTGGACACCTGTGCCAGGGCCTCACTCCCTCACAAGAAATAATTCCTTCCCAATATCCCATCCACCCCTGCCCTCTGGCACTGGGAGCCATTCCCTGTGTCCTGTCCCTCCATCCCTTGTCCCCAGCCCCTCTCCAGCTCTCCTGGAGCCCCTTCAGGCCCTGAGCTCTCCCTGGATCAGCTGAACCCTCCCAGCCTGGCTCCAGAGGGGCTCCAACCCTTGGAGCATCTCCTTGGCCTCCTCTGGACTCACTCCAGCAGCTCCATGTCCTGATGTTGGAGTTCCCAGAGCTGGAGCTGCTGTGGGGTCTCACCTGAGCAGGACAGAGAGGAGAATCCCCTCCCTCCCCTGTGCAGGAGGATTCCCTGTGCTCTCCTCCTGCAATCTCAGGGTGCCATCCCCCCTTCCCAGAAAGGTTTTCCTGCCTGTCTGTGCCTTGGACAAGGTTCAAACCAAGGGAAATGGGATTGAAATCCCAGTTTGGGGTTAGCACAGTCCAGGTGTTCTGGTGGCATCTGCACACCTGGGTGCTGCTGGCCCAGGCACGGCCGAGTTCCCTCTGCAGCTCCAGGAAAAGATTCCCTGCTGTTGATGTGCTGGCCCTGCCACGGGATGGGAATTGGTTCCTGGAGCAGGAATATTTCCACTCCAATCCTCCTCCTTTTGTCCAGGCCCATCTCTCCAGCCTTGCTTTCATTAGTGCAGGGCTGCAGTTCATCAAGCCCCATAAATATTTGTATCCTGAGCGTTCCTTGGAGCGTTCCGAACCCTGGCCGGGATTTCACGGGATGCTTCGCGTTGTTTATCGTGCGGATGCTCTGACAGGGAATTCCCTGGGGGTCAGCAGGGCCAGGGAGGCACGTTCCCCTCTGGTTTGTGATCCTGGTAGGAGCTGCCCTTCCCTCGGCGTTCCCTGAGTGGGTGTGGAGCGAAGGTCGGTCAGGGATTCCCCCACGGATGCTCCCAGTCCAAAGGATTTGCAGCTCTGCCAGCCCTGAAAGCTCAGAAATCAGCAGCTGTTCCCAAAAAACTCATGGATTTGTAACAAATGAAGGAAGGCAGGGGGATTTTGGCTCGTTTCCCAAGAGCTGTGGTTCTGGGTGAGATCATGGGATGGGTTGGGTGGGAAGGGACCTTAAAACTCCTCCAGCCCCAGCCCTGGTGGGCAGGGCCACCTCCCACTGTCCCAGGCTGCTCCAAGCCTGTCCATCCCGACCTGGAACACTTCCAGGGAGGTTCCCTCACTTCCAAGGCAGGAAACACCAATGTTGGCTCTGATGGAAAAGGATTTATTGGGATTTCAGTGGCATTTGGATTTTGGACCTTGTTCTTGCTGCTCTAATGAGCCTGGCTGGCTGTTAAGCCACCAGTGCCCATGGAGAACACTGGGAATGGCAATCATGGAATTTCAGATTGGAAAAGACCTTTCAGATCATTGAGGCCAAGCATGTCCTGAAGTTTTAGGTGTTTAACTGTTAATTTTCTTTTTTTTTAACCAAAAAAAATTTTTAAAAAATGGTCTTTCCTGAAGGTTTTTCCAGAGTTCTGTGGAGAAAATGGGATGTGTCCCATTCCTAATATTTGTACTCCCAAAAACTCCCCTGATTTGGTGCCTGAAGGGATCAGCTGAAGGAATGTGTCCATGTATCTCCCATATGAAAGGATTCCTTCAAGACTGTTCTAGATTATTCTTCCAAGTGGATTAAATAACGTTAAATAAATAATACTAAATAAATAATAAATAACGATGAATAAAAGTTCATTCTTTGATTTGTTAGGATAAACTATTTTTGGCGAATAAAAGAAGGCAGAATTAATACTTATTAATAATAATAATTATTAATAATTCAAAATAATAATTATCAGAAGTTCTTGGTGTAAAGAAAATACAACCCTGAATCTCTACTACTTAATCAATAAATCTACGTGTTGACAGCTTTAATGAGTTAATTATCTTTATTTTCTTCAATTAGAAAAGGTCTTGATTTTAAATTTTAACTGAACATTAATTTTCCCTCTCTCTTTTTCCAGGCAGGATTATTGACTCCATGCTGTGGGAATTCACCTCCTGAACACCTGCACCAGGTACTGCATTTCTTTCATTGCATTTCTGTGCTGTTTTCCCGTTGAATGCCACTTCCAAAGGTTTTAATGCTGGAATATTCGTGCTGTGCTTGGATTTTCAGAGGTCTGGGCTCTGTATTTTGCCCATCCCAGATTTTAATTGCAGGAAGAGGTTATTAAATCCTTGGAAAGAGGGATATTGTGCAGGGTGAATTGAGATTGTTGAAGGCTTTGGAAAATCCAGGATCTTTGTTCCCAGTTGCTCCTGGATAATGTGGTGAGGGCCCTTGAAAACAGAGATATTGTTGTGCAGGGTGAGTCAAGGCTCATGGAGGCCTTGGAAAACCTGGGAATTTCATTCCAGTCATTCCCAAAGCTCAGGGTGAGAGCCTTTGGAAACGGGGATATTGTTGTGTGGAGCAAACAGGAATGGAGGCCTTGCAAAACCCGGGATCTTTACTCCCAGTTGCTCCTGGACAATGTGGTGAGGGCCCTTGGAAACGGGGATATTTCCGTACGGAGTGGATCGAGGGCTTCACGCAGGCCTCGGAAAACCTGGGAATTTCATTCCACCTGTTCCCAAAGCTCAGGGTGAGGGCCCTTGGAAACAGGGGTTTTGTTGTGCAGAGTGACTGGCGGCTCACGGAGGCCTTGGAAAACCTGGGATCTTTATCCTGGAGCACGTGGCGAGGCCGGAGGAGCACCTGGGCGTCGCTGCCGCTCCGGTTGTGCTCTCCCTGTGTAACTCAATCCTCTTCCCAGCTGTTCCTGATCCCAGCTGGAGCCTGTCAGGAGGAGCCCCGTGTGTGACCCGAGCCATCCCAGGGCTCGAGTGCCTGAAATCCTTTCATGCCGCTGTCAGCCCGAGCCCCCTGCCCGTTCCATCACCTCGCGGCTCCGGCGTGTGCCGGCACCGCAGCGCCCCAGGCAAACTGCGAAGGGCTCCACCAATTCCTGGGATGGTTTTCAGATGGGATTTTATTGGTTTATGAATTGTTACCTCTGTTTCCTCCTCTAAACGAGGCTGCAGAAGCGAAGAGGGAATGGAGGCCAAGTCTCCCTCTTTCCCAACACAGGGAAGCCGATCCCGTGTGTCGGCCCCGCTCCCGTCACGTGCTCGCCCTCCGCGGATATTTTTCAATCCCAACCCCGCTGCAGTGCTTCGCTGGTGTTTTTTGCTCCTTTGTTTATTCCCCAGCCGCTCGGGATGAGCGCAGAATCCCGCTGGCAGGAACATTTGTGGGAAATCACAGCAGGCCTCACATTTGCGCGCGGCCAAATCCGCCAGAGAGCCCCCGGCGAGCGCTCGCACGGCCACGGAGCAGATTCTGTTCCCATTACTCACCAGAGAGGCTCGCTGGATGTTTATAGCTGTTGGGTGGGCAAGAAAGTTGGGAAGAGTCGGGATTTGTCGGAGCCTTTGATGGTTGAGGCTGGGTGGGAACGAAAGCAGCTGGCCTGGGTTGAGTAATGGGGTGGCACTGGTAGCCCTGACTCGTGGTAACTCATTTCTCTCCCAAATCCCAGTGGTGGCTGGGATTTGCCTGCTCAGCCCGTTCCTCGGAGCTGCAGGAGCGGCTGGAAGGCTCCGAGTCAGTTTTATGGGTCACTCTGACTTGGCCTAAGAGCCGGATTTGCCGGATAAAGGAGGGTTCTTTGTTAGGGAATCGTGAGGATTTGATTTAGCAATTCCCACTTAAAGCCTGTGCTCCTGGAGAGCTGCTCCTGAGTGATGGTTGCTCCCAAATTCTCTGCTCCCAGTGCCCTGCACTGATGGGTAATTTTGTGTTTTCCTGCTTACCTCCTTGGAAAGCACCAGGGAAAGCAGCTGTGGCTTCAGTGCTCGAATTGGACCTCACATCCCTTGATGGCTCTGTTTCCCTTCAGGGGAGGAGAAAGCCCCAGTAAACTGTTCCAGTTGTGGTTCTGGAGACAAATGTGGGCTCTGGTGGACACGTCGTCTTAAATGGAGCTCAAACAAAAGTTGCCTCATCCCTGAAGGATTTCCTTGACAAAGGTAGTTGGAATAAAGCCGGATGTTTTTCCGGAGGGCTGGCCATGTATCTGAGGAGAACAATTAGTGTTTTATGGGCTGAAGCCACACCAAAGGGATCCAAAACTGGCTGAGACATCTGAAATAAAAATATCCCTCATCAGGGAGGTTGGTGCTGGGCTCTGTCAGCTCAGCCTGCTCTTGTTCCATCCCCTCACCAGTGACCCCTGATAAAATTCCTGCTGCTGGAGCTCTGCACAGCTCGGCCTTGGCTGGGAAGTGCAGGGTGGTGACCAAGGAGCTGTGCCCTGTGCTCTGGGAGCTTTGGAAAGCTCAGCCCACGGAAAGGAAACGGGCTTAGATGCAGCTGGAGCTGGGATTGAAGCAGGGGGTGCTCCTGATGGCGCTGCCAAGGGAATAAAGCCTTTGGGAAGGGCAGGATGAGCTCCCAACAGGGCAGGGAGGGGTCAGTGGAGTGCTGGGATGGGTGTGAGGGGAAACCTCTTGTCCCTCACCAAACCATGGGGGATTGATCCTATTTTTGTTTTCCAAAGGATGTCAAGAAGTGGAAGTTAATATAAAAAAAGGGCTAAAAAAAAGAAAATGAGAGTGAGAGGTTGAAAAGCTCTCAATCTACTGCATTTCTGAAGAAAAAACTGAAATAAATGGGGTGACTCGGTATTTATGCACTGGGATTGTTTTGAGAGAGAAAACTTTGGAAACAAAAGGATAAGAGAGAGGATCTGAGCTGGAGCTAAACCCCAGCATGTTCTGCCTTGGCCACAGCCCAGTGTTTGTAGTGGAGGTGCCACAGAGGATTTGCTGTCCTCTGCTGCTCCTCAAACCAGGGAGGGTGCTCAGCCAGGACCCCAATTCTAGGATTTTGTGTAGTTTTGGCGTTTTATGGAGCTGGGTGAGTGGGGAAATGGGATTGTCGGTCAGCACAGACGAGTTCATGGTCCCCTCAGGACTCACAGCTTTCTGAAGAAAATCCTCTTGTATTGCAGAGGAAGGGATTGTTGTTCCTGGAGATTTACAGGAGGTTGAGACCTGGAGGCACAGGAAGGTCCTTGCTGGCTCCTGTGTCCCTGGTGTGCTCCTCAAGGGAGTGAAGCTCTTGGAGCTGATGATTCTCGTTACTCTAATGAGATTTTTCTCATTAGACATCACAAGATAATATTCAGAGGACAGACTGGTCAAGGAAAGCAGTTGTTTGGTGGATGTTTTTAGGTGTCTTTATATTATGAAATTTGGACTTTGAGGGTGCTTTGGTGCCTTGCTCTGGGAGCTCTGAAATGAGCAGTGGATTTTAAGGAAAAGGAAACTCTGTCTCCTTTTCCTGTTTTTCCTTTCAATCTGATTTATCTCCACAGGTGCCATCCCATTTGTCATGTTCAGAGTTCCATCAGAACAGACAGCTCTGAGAAGGGTGGTGATAAACCCCCCCTTAAACCCCATTTATTCACTTCCCAAAATAAATCATTTGGGGAAAGCAAATATTTGACTTTGTGTAGCAAACCCAGGGAAAAAACCCATTTCCAGGTCAGCTGTGTGAGTGGTGATCAGTTCTTGTTGTAATCCTGTGCTGGGGGGTTGATCCCAGTGATTCTGTGCTCCCTGAAATCCCATTTTTCCTGCAGGCTGTGCCGTGCCTGTCCTGCCTCTCAGTCCAATTCCATGTTGCTTTTATTATCGTAAAGCCCAGCGAGTTTAATGAGCTGTGTTGTGCTGAATTGCTTCCAGACCGGAGGTGAAGAGCAGGTAAATAATGTTCATTATTTGGATTTTGGGATGGGATTGAGGGATGCTGAGGAGCTGTTGCCTCTCCTGGGGGTGCTCATGATGGGATGAGGAGTTTGGGGGTGTTCTCCCTGTTGTTGTTTGAGCTGGAAACGGCTCTGGTTGTCCCCTGGAGTGTAAACAATGTCCACCATGGATGGGGATTGTTGGGACTCGTCTGCTCTGGCCTTTCTTTGGTGCTGGAGGAGCGGAGCAAGGTGAAAAATCCTGTGTGAGGTTCAGAGCCCTGGGAGCTGAGCAGGTGTCCCCAGGATCCCTGTGGAACACAGCTGGGAATGGGATGGCTCCAGAGCCCTGGGTATCCCTCAGGGTGGGGCACCTGAGGATGAACTCCTGAGTCCTGTGAGGAGCTCAGGAGGTTCTCAGGCTGCTCAAGGACCAAGGATTGGTGTTCCAGGAGTGCTCTGGGGCCTTGGAGACACAGCTCTGCTGGCCTGGCAGAGTCTCCAGGTTATGGGAGTTGGGAGAAGCCTCCCCAGGAGCGCCAGGAGGGATTTAATCACAAGATTTATTTGGCTGTGAAGCCTCTTTGGGGCAAAGCAGTTCCTGGGGATGTTCTGAAAACCCAAAAAGTGGCTGAGGGGTTCCTGGGAATGTCCTGGAAAACCAAAAAGGGCCTGAGTGGTTCCTGGAGTTGTTCTGAGAAACAAAAAGTGGTAAAGTCATTCCTGGGGGTGTCCTGAAAACCCAAAAAGGGGCTGAGTGGTTCCTGGGTTTGCCCTGGATGGCAGTGCCACGGTGGGCTCGGGATGCCCAATTCCAAATAACATCCAGCCCAGAAAGAGGAAAAAGCCCCCAAAAAGCAGCCAGGCTGAGCAGGCTGATACATTTTTTTGCCACTTAGCTCCGAGATCTGCGAAGCTTTCATGGGAATGGGAGGGAAATCAGCTGCTCTGGGGGGCAGGAAATCGAATCTGGAGGCCCAGCTCCCTGTGCCTCAGTGGGAACATTGTTGTCCTCACAGGAGCCGTGCAGACGTTTCTTTTTATCCCAAAAAGAGCAATTTCCTGCCTTCCTCCTGTCCCAGTCTGCCTGTGCTTCCCCAGGATCCCTGCAGCAGCAGGAATGTGGCATCGGAACCCAGGAGCCAAGAGTGGGGCTCGGCAGGAGGGGCTGTGTCAGAAATAAGAAATAAGAGAAATAAATAAGATAAGAAATAAGAAATAATTCCCCATGTGCTGCCCGAGCTTGGGGGAGCTGCAGGAGCGGGGAGGATTTGGGGAACACCGGGATTTTGGGCTCAGAGGGAAGAGGAGGTGGTAGAAATGCAGGTGACAAGGCTGGGACAAAAGCAGAGCTCAGCCTGTGGGGGCACAAGGTGGATGTGGGGTTATTAAAAGGAACAGATTTCAGCAGGGTTTAGTCTGGGGCAACTGCAGCTCTGTGGGAATTGGGAGCTCTCTTACACCTGCTTGGTAATTTGCTTTTTTTGGCCAAAACCCTTCTCCTGTCCCATCTGCTCCTGCTGCATCCTGAAGTGCTGGCACCTCTTGGAATCACAGATTGAACCACTTGAATTTCCAACCAGTGACTTTCCAGTGGATTTAGTCCAAGTTTTTGGATCAATATGTTTAAACATTAAATATTGGGCTAAATCTGAATGAATTCACCCTCCTGGGTTGGACCTGGGAGTCTCCCGAAGGTTTTTATGCCATGTGAAATCTCCATCTCACCTGATTTATCCAGTGCAGAAAAAAAAATAACTTGTCCTAAATGGGCTCCTCTCTTGTAATGCCGAGTTTACTGATCAATTTATTTAAACCTTAAATATTGGGCTACATTTGAACAACTTTCCCTTCCTGGACTGGACCTGGGAGTCTCCTGAAGGTTTTTAGGCCCTGTAGAATCTCCATCACACCTGACTAACGCCCCCAGCAAAAAAAAACTCCAAAAACCAAACCTTTGCCCTGAGTCAGCTCCAGTCTCATAAAGCCTGAAAAATGAGACCTTTGGTAACTGGGGCAGGAGAAGTGCCTTGGTTATCATCATTCCCTGCCCAAATATTGATGCTGCTGGGTGGAGAGGGGAGGGATCTCCTGGAGGGACTTGAGGATGCTGATCCCATTGGCTTCTGGATTCTCCAGAGCAGCTGTGGCAGCTTGGGCTGAGCCCAGGGATTTATTTCCAGGAGCACAGGATGGGTTTGTGCTGAGCCTACAGAACAGTGCCCTCTCGTGTGCTGACAGGGCTGGGAGCTGCAAACACAAACCCCTCATGGATTTTGGAGTGTGGATAAGGAATTCTGCCTGACCTGTGTGCTGAGGAGGTTTTCTGTATTTTTTTTTTATTTTCTGTGGCACCGTGGTTCTAAAGGTTTTTGTGACTGAGATTTAAAATTATGCAATTGAGGGTTTTTTTAATATATATATTTTATATCTCAATACACTGGGGGTTTTGGGTTTTTTTTTTTATAGGGAAAAAGCCTAAGGGCTCTATTTTATTTTCTTTTGATGTTGAAGCTGGCAGAGATTGCTCTGTCTGGCAGCAGCTGAGCTCGTGTGCCAGGAACCGGAGGTTTAAGGTGTAGATCCCAATTTCAGAATGATCCCAAAAGAGCAAACTCAACATTAATATTTGCATTTCTGGCTGGTTTGGGGCTGTTTTTTCCCCATCATTGTTTGGGAATGCTGAAAGCGTTGGAAGTGAGGTTCAAATCCTCATTTTTCCAGCGACTTTGCAGATTCCAAACCTGTGTCTCCTCTCCTGTGCTGCTCTTTGGGCACAGCCCAGCTGCTCCACCATTTCACTGGCCGGGGATAATAAATCACATTCCTGATCTCATGGAATCATTGAGGCTGGAAAAGACCTCCAAGACCATCCATTCTAGCCCCACAGCAGTGCTGGTCCTCGTGGTGCTCTCTCTCCATTTATTCTCCTGTTTTACTCTTGGCTGCTCATTGCACGATCCCAGTTCGGTTCTTTTCCACAGGGATTTATCCGGGTGAAGTTTTCCAGCCTGGAACTTCTTCTGCTCCGTGGACAGATGTGATTTCATAGCTGGGTAAATACAGAGAAATCAGCTTCATTCCAGGCCCCTATGTGAAATAAAAACGCTGCAGTGCTTGTAGGCCGGTCCTATAACAAATGGGGTTACAAATTAATGTTCTTTGGGATTGTAACGGAACCTGTGCTGGGAATTAACTTGATTTGGGGGGTGTGTATTCTGAGCAGATTTAAAAATGATTAATCTGGTAAAACTTAGACTTCTGATGAGCTTTGTAGCATTGCTTTGCTGGTGCCTTCTCCCTGCTTCAGGAGAGTGGAGCCTGCCTGATTTTCCCTGGGATTTGGGAGTGTTTTCCAGCGGGATGGATGGAGTGTGTCCCGAGGTGGAGGAATGTGTGTTAAATAAACAGCCAGCCTGGGCCCTGCTCACGTTGGGTGTGTTTTGCCTGATTTTTAGGAAGAGGGATGTATTTGGATGAGGGATTTGTATCTTGCGCTCAGGTTCCCTTTGCACTCGCTCCAAGGGCTGAGATATCCTGTGTTTGGATCCAGCCAAGGGAAGTCAGGAGGGGACTGGAGTTGCACAAACCAGAGATGCTGTCCATGTGGATGAGTTTGGAGCCGGGTCCTGTCCAACATCTTTAGGATTTTGCTGTCAAGGATTATCAAGTTATCAAGTTAGGCCTTGTTGTCAAGGCTTAGATGACCTTTAATGTCCCTTCCAACCCAAATTATCCCAAATTTCTGTGGGATCTGGGTTGTCATTGGTGGCATTTCCCTGTGGTTGGTCCTGTTTTGCTCCCAGCACCATTCCTGGTCAGTTCCTGGCTATGAGGATGGAGATTCCAGAGTGAACCTCGTGGAGGCTCCTCTGCTCACAGCCCCAACTTGGTGGAGGAAGCAGCCAAACCTTTTTGGATTTTTTGGGCCAAGATAAATGGAACAATGGAAATTCCCATTCCAAGGGTTGGGTCCCTCCAACCCAAACCATCCTGTGGATGCTCCGGCCTTGCAGAGGAGCTGAATCCAAACCAGCTCCGGGGAATCTCCCGGGTTTTCCCAGAGAGTGGCTGTGAGTGGGGCTGGAATCTCGGCAGGCTTGGGGAATCTGGGTCAGAAGGGGCAAATGGACCAGAAAAAATCCCTGGGAATGCTGGTGCTGTGCCCCAAGATGATCCTGAAAGAGGCTGCTCTGGCAGAGTGTTGGATTTAACCTGGGAATCTCCTGGAGGGAATTTTCCTTCTGCTCCTACTCAGGTCAGGGAAGATGACTTGACGTGCACGTTTGGCAGTTCGTTTCTCAGCTTCCCATTTTTCTCTCGGCAGGAAGATCCCAGGCATTGGCAAACCAGGGTGGGAAGGGCTGGTGCTGCACCTCGGCTTCTCCCGTTCATTGATTATGAAAAGTCTTTGCTCCGAGCTTGGTGCTGACTCCAAAGTGGAAAGGCAGCGCTGATCCCACTGTCCCGACCAAGGGAGGCACCAGAATCTTGGGATATTCCGTCTGGGAAGCCCAGCTGGTGCCACGGGGTGCAGGGCTCAGAGCTCTGAATTTCTCGTGACACCAGAATTATCTCCCTGACATTGTACCTGCACGCAAAGGCTGCAGCAGCAATTCCACGTTCTTATAATCCCCCTGCTCGGATAAAAATCAGATGGGAACAAATGTGCAGCACACGAGGACTAAAGACTTTTATTACAATATCTTTTTAATTATCAAGGTGGGGAATCACGTTTTACAAAGTCCAATAAATTGAATTTTATTATGGTTTGTGTGAGGACTTATTTAATAGCAGATTACACGGGACGCTGACACAATTCCTCTTTCTTTCTCAGAGGTTTATTTGTCGCTTGTTGAACTCTGGGAAAGCGAGCTGGGGATGGAAGCAGAGGGTTGCAGATCTAATCCAAGGGATGGTTCATGTTCATGGTTTAGATTAGCTCAGTTTAATTCCAGATTGTGTGCACTTGGAGCAGCTGGGAAACCAGACCAGGCAGTTGGGCTTTATTAGGAATGAGCTCCTGCTCCTTTCACTCGGTGCTTTGGGAAGTCTCAAATCCTGAATTATGGCTGTTTGCTTTGGAAGGAGCTCCAGTTCTACTCTCTGCTCCTTGCTGTTGGAATTCGGGGCTTCTGTGGAGCTTCCTGCCCTGGGCAGGTGTGGAGAGGGGATGGATTTGGTTCCCTAAACTGGGAACTGCTGGATTATCCACGGAATCATGGAGTGGTTTGGGTTTGAAGGGATCTTAAAGCCATCCAGTTCCACCTCCCACTGTCCCAGGCTGCTCCAAGCCCCATCCACCCTGGCCTGGGACACATCCAGGGGCAGCCACAGCTTCTCTGGGAATTCCATCCCAGCCTCTCCCCACCCTCACAGGGAAGTTTTCCTTCCCAATATCCCACCTAGCCCTACTCTGCTGAACTCCCAGTATTCTGTGGGTTTGTGCTTTGCTGGGAATTTTTTCCCTAACGCCGAGGTTTGTTCACAGCGTACTCAGCTCTGGGTGGTGAAAAGTTCCCCTCTCGCATTTCAGATTTATTATTTGGAATTATTTGGTTGTCTTCCCCATTTCTGACAGTCACCAGTCTCTGGGAGGGTCAGTCCATACAAAAACCCCTTTCAGTTCTGGATGCTGCTGCAAGCAAAAGCTACGAGCAATATTTTGGATATCAGGTTCCGCATGTTGAGGAAATGCCAGTTTGAGGGAATTGCACATGGATCCCCTTCCCAAATCTGTGCTTGGAAATGCAACAGGCAAAAGTGATCCGTGTGCTAAATAAATGGGAATATGAGCTACAACTTGCACAGCGAGGTTCTAGCGTGGCCAGGGGTTATATTCCCGTTTTAACTCCTAGGGAAACTTTTGGAAATGGAAATCAATCCTATAAACCCACGGAAGACCTTTCTGGCCCCATGGCTACAGCGAGCACAGGCATTTAAGAGATGATTTTCATATGCATGGAGTCATCTTAGAATTCTGGAAGGGAACAGTTTGTCTGGGATTCAAAATAAATTATTCATCCTTTTATTACCATAATAATCGCTTTTTATGGTTACCCAAGTGAATGTTATTATGAAAGCACAGAAAAATCTATTAATTATTTTCCAGGTTTTTAGAGTATTTCGGTTTTTCCTCATATTTTTTTTTTCCCCCCCCCATTCTGGGGAGGGGGTTTGATGTTATCAGAAAACAAAGTTTGTTTTTTTTTTGTCCAAAGATAAAAGTCTCTCTGCTCACTTGTTTTGTGTATCAGAGCTGATACAAAAAATCACAAAACTGATGAACTTATCCAGCGAAAATGCCACTCTGGAGGCCTCTTCCCTGCTTTTTGGTCCCTGTGGATTCTGGGGTGTTTCCTTTAACTTTGTGTAGGTCCATCATTTATTTATTAAAAAATAACAAACATGGGGTGGGGTCTTAAAAATAAGAAATGTTGCCTTGTGCCAGGAACAACTGGAAACAGCCTGGAATGGAGGATTTTCCCCCTCTAATAGGAGGAGGGTTTAGTGCTGATTAACAGGAGCCTCCAGGGCCTTAAATTTGTCCAAAGTTTAACAGGGATTTGTGTTAAATTTATAAATTCTTGTTCACAACCTGGCTGTTGGAGGGCTGGAGGTTTGTTGGTTGGTTTTTCCCCAAATAAATGATTCCTGTGTGGACCAGCAGCTCCCAAAGATGTTTATTTCCATGGTTTTGACCAGCCTGGTCTAGGGAAGCTCAGCCTCAGCAGGGCTTAGGATGAGGAGAGGTTTAAGGTCCTTTTCCAATCCAAACCACTCCAGGATCTTCTGGAAGTTGCTCCAAGAGCATGGACTGGGTTGTTGCTCCGGGGTTTGTGATAATTCTGGCTTTGGAGGGAAAAGCTTTACAGAATGTCGTTGAACCAGGATATTTGGTGGTGTCAGAGGCTGAGGGAGTGTGAAAAGGACAGAGAAATCCTGATTTTTGTGTCTCTTCTGATGGGCTGAGTCTCACATAATGCAAAGTTTGAGGCTGCCAGTGATGCTCTTTGGGTCTGTGAGTGATGCTCAGCCCGTGGAGCACTGAACACCAGGGAATCATGGAAATAATCAAGGGATAACCTTGGAATTCTTCAGTGAGAGCAGCTCTGTTGGACAGAGCGTGGTGCTGATAACACCAAGGCCATGGTTCAGTCCCTGGATGGGCCTCACTCGAGAGCTGGACTTGATCCTGTGAATCCCAGAATATCCAGTGGCCTGGAAATAAAGTGGGAATGAACAGCATTTCCAGAGTTTCCAAAGTGTTTAAGGAAATGGGTTTTTCATGTTGGGTCTCCCGAGGGAATCCTGCTGGATGTGTCCACGTGGCCCCCCACACCTGAGGGGGTTTGAGAGCGGGAAATGATGGTAAAAGCCCAGCACAGCTGCGAGGTTGGATCCTGGTTCATCCCAAATCCCTGATTTTCCTGCCTGTGACCCAAGGAGAGGACTCAGCACATTCCCAAGCTAAGGCACGGGACTAACCCTGTGGAACAGCATCCTGGACACCTCAGGAAAAATATTCTCCAGGAAACCTTGCCTTTGGAGCTGGTTTTACTCTCTGTGCATCCATTTGGCCTCTGGGTGCTGGAGGGTGGGGAAGGTGTCACCTTTGGGGGCCTGGGCAGGGCCTGGCTCACCTTTTAGAGCCCAGCCCCGTGCACACCCTTCCCACAGTGTTCAAACCCTTCCTACACCCAGAAAACCCCGGATAAACACACTCCAGGCTATTTTAGGTGCTTCCTTCGTGGCCCTGCTTCACCCAGCCAGCAGACTGGGAGATCCAGTAGCCCTCTGGCCACCTGGGTTTGGTGTTGGCTTCTTGTCAGCTGGGACGTGGCGCTGGGAGAAGCTGCTGGGAGCTGAATTCTTCCCTGCCAAATGCCAAGGAGCTGCTTCTCCAATTTTTTCCTGTTCTGAGTTTATTATATTAATGGAGAAGAAGTGCTTAAAACCCTCGGTGGTTGCTCAATGTAGCCTTTGGCACCACACACAGCAGTGGTGGAAAAAAAGCAAACAGAAGTGTGAAGAGCCCGACAAAACACATGGAAAATATCTTGTATTATATAAATGGGCTCAATGCCTGTGCCTCAAGTGCTGCCTCTCATTCGAGTAAATTCCTCCCACCAAGGAGGCAGAAAAATCAGGAATTGGGAGGCAGGAGCAGAGGGAAGGGGGAGCAGTTGAGTGTTTTGGAGGTGTTTTGCCCACAGTGGATTTTTAGAGGGGTTGGAAGGAGATGCAATGATCTGAAGGTTCTGTCTGAGAATTCACAACAGAAACAGTGCTTGAAAAGGAAAATCACCACTCTGGGCTGTCAGATGTTTGGGGCTGTTGCAGAATCAGGCTGGGACCGTGAGTTCCACAGCTTGCCACTGAGATAAGGGCTAAATGAGGCTTCAAAACCTGAACACTCCAAAAATAAAACACCAAACAACAGCAAAAAAAAAACCAACAAAAATCCCAACTTAACAAGAAGTAGAAATCCCAAGGCAGTTGGAATGGGAATGTTTAAGTGGTGAACAGAGTGTTATCAGGTTAATGGTTGGATTTGATGCTCTGAGGGGTCTTTTCCCACATTAATGGTTCCAATGACTCAAGATGAACACGGGGATTTATAAGTGAGCAGAAATGGTTTGGGTTTTTTGTTTGCTGTCGTGGTTTGGGGGAGGTTCTTCTTCTCCATGTGGTGGTGGAGGTGCTGGTGGTGCACAGGTGAAGATCCTTTCCAAGAAATCCGGTGGTGCCTCTGGAATATCCAGGTAGTTTCAGGAAAAATTACCCTTGCAATTCCTTCTGTGATCCAGGGTTTTGGGAGAACCCTCAATGCATCCTCCCCTCTCCATCCTCCAAGGAACAATCCTGCCTCTCATCCACCCCCTCTTATCCATTCTCTGCTTCCATCTCTGCCCTTAATTAACTTTTCCTATTCTGCTGAGCGTACAACGTCCCAGGATTAACCTAACAGGGAGCACAAAGTTCCCAGAGAATTGAAAATCAATTTCCCTGTCTTCGTGTACCTGTCAAGGATTGAGTGCCAGGGCTGGAATTCATCCTCTGGTAGCTGATGGTATCGTGTCCACCTAAATCACCTCTCTAGCAGTGCTTGAGATGCGTTGGGCTGAATTCCCTGGCTGCCATCCCGTTCTCGGTGGGATAGGGAAGCAGAGGGGTTGGAGTCGACACTGACTCTTCCATGTCTGGCAAAAATCTGGTTGTGGAGCAAGAGGGAAATGCTGGCTGGTCAAAATTCCTGGGTGTCCTCATCCCTGACAAGCGCTGAGCTCTGCTGTTTATAAAAAGGATTGAGGGCCTTGAGTTGGGCTTAGTCAGCTGCTGATCCCTGGGAACGAGGAAGGGGGGGGTGTTGTTTCTCCATCTAATCACTTGCAGGCTTGTGATTACAACATTTAATGATGATGGCCGAGGTCAGTTTTTAATTAGCTGAGCCACATGATGGGCTCTCGCAGTGCCAGCAAAGCCTTTCCTCGCCGATGTCTGGCGTGATGCTCCAGAGGAGCAGCTGTGCCAGTGAAATCCTGGATTTATGGGTTAAATCACGCTGTGTATTTCCCAATCCTGGGCTGTTTTGCTCTGATCTGGATGGGACATGGTGGGTCCAGATTGCAGCATGCAACCAGTCCCCGTCTTTGTTCAACATGTTGAGGAGAGAGCAATAAATAGGAAAA